AAACCCTCACATGTCTTCTTTACCTCACTCACGATTTAGGTTTCCTCCCTGAGCTCCATACTTGTACGTTTCCAGCCCTTCTTTGATGATTACTACTCTCCCAGTATATCGACTCATCGCTCTTCCTCGAGTACAACTTTGCCTCCCAATTTGGTACCTTCAAGCTCTCGGAACCTTCCTGGCTTTTGACCCAAGCACCCGTCCTCGACTACGACTTTCCCTAGTGCCTATTGCTCTTGGAACCTTCCTGGCTTTTGACCACGACCACGTCTTCACCTTCTGTTTCGGCACAAAACCACCGATACCTGAAGTGCCTCACATTGGGTCCAGCCTCCCGTAGCCTGGTTATGCGTGACAGTGCCAGGTGTGTGCTCTGTGCATGGAGAGGAAGCAGAAAGTGAAGTCCCCCTGGAGGTGTGAGCAATGCAACGTTTCCTTGTGTCTTATTGTAGACAGAAACTGTTTCAAGGAGTGGCACCTGCGGGTGATGAACTAGGGCTCCTTTTAACACAATCTACAATCCTATGTACTCTTTGTTGGGTATGTATGTAAATAGTTTGAATTTCATTTTGCACATTTAGTTTTTTTTCACTCTTTATTTGGTTTTGGTTTAAACTAATATGAAAGAGCCTATGTTTTTTTTCTGATATTTTTACTCTTTCTAGCAAGTCAGGGAAAAAATTGCAGTTTTTTTACTTGTGATGTAGGAGGCGTCTCCTTGAACACTGAAAAACTGAAGAAAGGAACAGAAGTGCTCTTTTCAGAGGACACAAGAGGACAGCGCAATATTAGAATCACTGTGTTTTTGATTGATTAAGAGCATTTCTGTTGAGAAGACAAAATAAGGCTTTTTTCTGCCTTGATGTGAAGCTCACAAAGTTTTCACCAAATGTGTTTCAAATCAGTGGAAGCATACTCTTAACCCAGAAGCACTCAGCAGCAGGATTGGAACCCACACCCCCAAAGACAGCAGTGCCTTAGGCCACTCAGCCACACTACCCACTACAGGGTGTCCAGTCCTCACATTGCTGGCTCGGAGAATGCTCTTGTTGTCCAATAGAGTGGTTATATGATGCATGTCTGTAAAGTAGTGTTTGTTTGCATTGCTTATGTGGAGCAGCGCACCAATTCGATGAACTTTTGCAGTACGTACATAGTTTTCTCCACAATATTCAAATACAATATATGAAAATACTCTCTTGTCTTGGGCTGCCATGACCCAGCTTCAAAGCAGGGCTATTGTGGCCACAGCACAAGATAATAACCACTGTATCATTATGGCACACTGCTGATAAATACACTTCTTTGTCATGGCTGCGTGGAAGTGAGTGTGATTTCATCTTGTAACAGGAATCATCAAAGCTGTAATTGCTTGATAAAAGCCATTTCTCATCCTTCCTCTTAGTGTCGTTGCTCCTATTGCATGTAAAGGAAGCAACATGCTCAACAAACAGGCTCAGCACACACTGAACTCAGATGTCTCAGACCAGTGTGTCCAAGAGGCTGTAAAAAGGCTATGCTCTGCCAGCTCCGTAGTTTAGTTGGTTAAAGTGCCTCTCTAGCAAACAGGAGATCCTGGGTCTGAATCCTATGGTGTTTTTTTTTCCTTAATCAAATACTTATGAATGGAGAAAGGTAATACATATGAGTCTCTGTGGAAAAATTAGTGCAGTTGGCTGTTAATTGAAAGATTGCACACCCAGGAATGGAATTGTTCTTGATGAATGATTTGTCATAATGCATCAAACACGTTTTTATAATATTCTGTACTTTGTTAAAACAATTAAAAAACACATATTCACTCGTTTTGCCATCCATATGGTACTTTATGGAGTTTGTTTCTGCAGTGAGCTGACATTTTCGAAATCAAAAGGTTAAAGAGCTACAGTACATTCCTGTACAGGCAATTGAACCCAGGCTACATGGGTAAAAACTAAGATTTCTAATCACTAGACCATACTGGGCATTCCTGTTCTGTGCATGGTGTAAGCAAAGTGTAATTCCTGTCTTTATAGCATGCTTTTTAGAGAGCTAGCTGGCACCCAGAGCACTGCAGGGTCTATCTACTGAGATTTAGTTGATGTACAACGTCAGGACGTATCAGATCCCTGGCACACGATGAGATCACTGAGGTGTCCATGTAGGGATACCAAGGCCAAGGTAGATCTCGGCAGCTTGCTGTGATCATATAATGGTCAGTACTTTGCTTTGTGGCTGCGACAACCCCAGTTCAAATCGGGGTCATGGTAGGAAAAGACTGGAGAGTCCCCTTCTGATATTTGTTTGAATGAAAAGGTGCTGCAAAGTATTATTGAATTGATGTGCTGCCCCATGTAAGTGATATGAATGAACACTGCTTTACAGAGATGCACCGCCTGAGTTTGTCATTGATAATCTGAAGACCAGACTGATAAATTTGATAGCAAAAGCTAAAGGACAACACACGCTAAATGTTAAATGTTAAAAAGTTAAATGTTATTTCTTTAACCTTGTTTGTCAGACAGTGGGCTGTCCAAGCTAATTATATTTACACATATTGAACTCCAGAAGGAAATACAGGGAGGAATGAGGCAGGGGTTACACAGATGTGATTATTATTGTATTTCTTATCTTTCATTTCCACACCATCCAAGAAAAGATTAACTGTAAACTCAGGTAGGTCAGTACTGACACAGTGACCTTCTCATGCATAACATCAGAGACTATGGCATATTCCCGAGAGGTAACTGGAATCTGGAATCTGTCCAACAATTCAACACAATTCAACAACCCACTCTCTTTGTTTAACAATTGTGCCACTAACTAAATTTTTATTATAGCATGTCTGACAGAATATTATTTTATTCTTGTACTTTATTTTTTATTTTGCACTTAATGTCTTTGTTTTTACATACAGTGGGTGTAGAAAGTCACCACCCCTTTTCAAAATGTTCACCTTTTGTTGCTCTGAAGTCCAAAAAGAAGACAAATAAAACCAGACTTTTCCAGTTTTATTTACAAATTGTACCCTGCAACATCCAAATGAAAAAAGAAAGCAAAAATTCTAAAAAAAAAGAATAACTGGGTTGGATAAGAGAACACCCCTGAGTTAATACTTGGTGGAAGCACCTTTTGCTTGAATTACAGCCTTGAGTTTTTTTTTGGATACATCTCTACCAACTTTACACACCTAGAGGGAGAAATATTTGCCCGTTCCTTCTTACAGAATTGTTCAAGCTCAGTCAAACTGCGTGGTGACAGTTGATGGGCTGCCCTCTTCAAGTCATGCCACAGATTTTTGATGGGATTGAGGTTGGGGCTCTGGCTAGGCCACTCAAGAACATTCACCTTCCTGTCCTTCAGGCACTGTACGGTTGCTTTGGTGGTGTGCTTTGGGTCATTGTCATGTTGACAGGCTGGCTGAGGGCTGCAGGTTATCTTCAAGAATTTGCCTGTATTTGCAACCATCCATCTTCCCTTCTATCCTGACTGACTGATCCCAATCCCAGCTGAAGAGTTGTGGAGTGCTTGTGATATTGTCACATGCACACAATGACAAGTCTTTGCCATAAAGGCCTGTAGCTCTTTTGACCTCTTGGTAGCCTCTCTGGTCATTCTCCTTCTTGCTCGGTCATCCACTTTGGACGGACAGCCTGATCTAGACAAGGTCTGGGTGGTGCAATACGTCTTCCACGTCTTAATGATGGTCTTAACTATGTTCCAACTGATACTTAAAGCCTTTTAAATCTTTTTATACCCATCTCCTGATTTGTGCCTTTCCACAACTTTATCTCAAAGCTCTTTTGAAAGCACTTTAATAGTGTGGGATTTTTCTGGCTGCCTTTTTCACCGACGGACCTCTAGTCCAGGTAGAGAGCTGACGTGTTGTCACTGAGTAGTGTTCTTGTTGCCCGCAAGTATTAATGAAATTGTATGAATCTACGTGAAATAGGAGATTTCTCTGAGAGGATGAGCGGGTGTCAGCAGTCCGACGACTGGTGCCATGGTTCTGAGGGGAACACGGTGATATTACGAGAGAATGTTATATAGGGTTTCTAATGTTAGCTAATGAAGACCCAGGTGGCAATGATATACATTCTCATGCGAAACTGATTAGAGAGAGAGCAGTATTTAGTGGTGTACAGTGAGAAGATCCTTCCGATTGTCACGGCACCTTTCCACCCATAGTGGATTCTTTGCTTTGAAATGCACTTCCAAGCACTGAACTAATCAAAATCACCACAGCTGATCACAGCTGGGAGCCAATTAGCTTGTTGTTTGACCTGTAAGGTGATTGGTTATACCTGAAAAAGTTTAGAAATGCAATTGTAAGGGGGGTGTTCACTTATCCAAATAAGGTATTTTAATGTTAATTTAATAATTTTATTTTCACTTGGCTAATGTGGGTTACTGTGTGTAAATAAAAATGGAACAAGCCTAACTTAATTTGTTTTTATTTTCAGAGTGTCATACAACAAAAGGTTCAAATTTTTAAAGGGAGTGGTGACTTTCTATACTCCCTGTATATAGCTTTTCTATTTCTTTAGGAGACATAATTATTTCATTTTCATAATTTGTTGGCATTTCTGTGCTTATTGTGTATCGCAAAACATAAGGGATTAACTGATGATTAGATCTGACACTCATATATACTCTTGGATACTTCGATTTAAATGTAATTTAAACATTAAATATTTTTTTAACAAAAGCTGATGGGAAAGAGATATTGAATAAGATAAAAAATAAGAAAATAAACGTATTGGAACATATTACCTATCTACATTAAACCGCTTCATTGAAAATATTGTGCATAATTATGTCCTTGAAGGTAGAGCATGTGGGAATAGATTAGCAATCGCACGGAATTTATACACACAGTGTAACCCGATGGCGATTCACTCCTCCTAACGACGTGGCGCTAGCAAGTGAACTGAGTTTCATTCGCGGCTGCAGGACTCCTCTTTCTCAGCTCGGCCCTTTGCGTGTTTTGGATTCGCAGCAGCTCCACTCATTGATGTCATCATGCCGCGCGCCTGTGCAGACATTTCAGCTCGTAGCGATGATTGAATCGGCTACTTTAGATGCATAATAAACAAGGAAATTGTTAAAAAGTAACTTTTCAACTGCTGAAAGCGCGACCCTATTTTGCTGCAGATCTGTGCAGAGTCCGCAGATTAGCAAGAAGATGGCGAATTGCCTGTTAATTCTGCAAACCCAGCTTCACTCTTTAATGGAGGTTTTGCTCAAATCGATCGTGTATGAAGTGTCAGAAATTTTCCGAAACAGGATGTCTGACTCTGAGGACGACTTTCAAGACAAACTCCACAGCATCTCCCAGATACTGGTAAGACGGGCCGTGTTTAAAATCACACAGTGTGCGAAGGACAGTTTCGGGGGTGAAATGGCGCAGCTGAAAAAGGAAAACGAGAGCCTGAAGTGGAGACTGCAGCTGTGGGAGAAGACGTCGGGAGCAGGAGGAGATCAGGGACAGAAAGATCGTGTTGGACACACGCTTCCCTGTGAAGTCACTGCAGAAATAAAAGAAGAAATGGACACGAAACTGGAGCTGTCAGGTCAGTGTGGTGTGATTAAAAACAGTCTTTACCTTCCTCAATGGTGAGAATATAGTGGGCGATGCAGAGTGGAGTGGGAAAGACGTGTGTCATGTAGCAACGGGATCCTTTACTGGAACCAACAGTTAACTCCGGTTGTCCGGTTATGGTGCTGAAAACATCGGTAATACAGTAACAGGGCTAAAAACAGCACGTTTAGACTGAAGAATCGCATCATTGGATCAGCGTCCTTAGCAAAACTTTCGTTATTTTATTTGCATTTGTGAATTCAGATTGCGGACATGTAAAGCAATATTTTTAGTTTTTTGGACGAGAATGAATCTGAAGGTAAGAATAATAAAATACACCATAGTTGTATAACTGAATCAATCTCTATAAATTAGCGTCATTACCAAAATTATTATATTTGTATTATAATTTTATACATAAATTACAGAAATAAAAAAGGATATGTTTAATAAAGGATATTTGTGCGTTGAAAAAGAACACCCCAAGCGGCCAGATGAACATTTTCAACGTCACTGTCTGTATTAATTTATCTCTCAATGCAAAGGGACGTTTTGGTATCTGAGCATAATGTAGCGCTCTCGGGTTCACGCCCTCGCCCTCGCCCCCGCCGCTGCCTCAGGTCGGCCCCTCCCATCGGGGACTCGAACCCGGGTCTCAACAGGAACCCAGCCGCTTGAGCTAAAGGGAAAGTCTGGAACACAGCGACTGCGGTCCCTGCTAATCACAGGGAAGGGCGGTGACGTCACCGCGCTGGTAAGCCGGCTCGAACAACATGCAATGGTGGACATATGCGTTACAATAAAAATAAAGGGAGCGTGTCTCTGAACGTCATAAACTGCGTTAATTTAGGAATATAAATATATTATACAAACTTTTTATGGCTGGTAGTGGTAGTTTAAATAAAAAATACACAACTGTATTCCACCTTCTTCATGATCATTTTATGCATCAGTCTTTCACTTGGTCACTTACTTTGGTTATTTTGGGAAAGTTTTGACCTGCTCGTTCTCACTATTTTAAGTTTATATATTTTATAAAAAGCTATAATGTTCTAACCTTTTTTATGAATACTTGCGAACACGGCAAAGTTAGCTCAAAGTTTGAAATACATTTTGGCATGCTAATTTTATGAAACCTTCTAGAGTTAAGACAACACTTGCATTGTGTATAAAGTACATTGTGAATGTTTACATTTTTTGCAAACACACGAATGTTCTGTTGCCAATATCTTTGTAAAGGAAACACTAAAGCTTTCAAACCAAACGCATTTTAAAGACCGCGACTTGTGAAAATGTTCACAACCTTTGCATTAACTTAGCAGTCAGCTAATTGTCTTTTTATAAACCTTAGCTTTTTGATTGATGCTAATATGGCACCATTGCACACGCAATACACTGGGATAAGGGGGTGCTCTTTATGAGTCAATAGCTTTTTAACCACAACACTGTAACCAAGTGTTTTACACACTAGGTAGGGTCTCTGACCTTTCACAAACTTCCTTTGATTTGTGAAACATGTCTTTAATGTTTTGTGATTTTTTTAAATATGGTACCATTGTACAGGCAATACATGGGATTTCTCAGAAGTCAATAGCTTTTTAAGTACAACACTCACAATGCTGTAACAAGGCGTTTTACACATTAGACAGATCCTCTGACCTTCTACAATCTTGATTTGATTTGTGAAACTTTTCTGAAATGTTTTATGACTTTTTGTATATGGCACCAGTTGACTGGCAATACACAGGGATAGGGGCGTGCTCTTCACGACTCAATAGCTTTACATAGCCAAATATAGCCATTAAATAGGTATTTAATTCTTACTACTTATTCTTAGAAAAGGATAAAACATTATAACGTTTTATGAAGTACAGTATATAAACTTTATAATGTTTGAACAAGCATGTTAAAACCATAACCCACTGTAAGTTACCAAGTTAAAGACTTTGATGCATAAAATATTTATGAAGAAGGTGGAATACTTTCTTCATAAAGAAAGTGTACTTTTGTTTAACTGAGCAATCTTGCTTTTATAAAATATACCTAATTATTAATCAGTTTAATGTTTAACATGCTGTAACACAGTTTACAATTTTTAAAGTATAAACAGTATACAACTTAAGTTCTGTAATTGGAAAAAGATTGTTCCTCAGCCTTGACTGGTATTTGAAACCAGGGGTTTGCTGGCAACAACCCAAATGCTCCACATGCCATGTTAAGCTATCAGCGCTCCACCTGGCGGTTTTACACAGTAGTGCAACCCTATTTAAAAAAACCCCCTGCAGAACGGTACCCTACCACCCGTGCACTGTGAATTAACACAGTATCCCTCTCTCATTTTGAATGGCTCGATCTGTACTGTAGTGTCCAGTCAGTGTGTCTGTTAACCCCCCTCTCTCTCAGTGGAGTGTTAATGTACACTGTACAGTGTCCAGTCAGTGTGTCTCTATTAACCCTTCTCTCTCTCTCTCAGTGCAGTGTTAATGTGCTGGAGTGTCCAGTCAGTGTGTCTGTATGAACCCCTCTCTCTCAGTGCAGTGTTAATATACTGGAGTGTCCAGTCAGTGTGTCTGTATGAACCCCTCTCTCTCAGTGCAGTGTTAATGTACTGGAGTGTCCAGTCAGTGTGTCTGTATG